ACAATTGTGGCCGTTATTTGGCGACGAGCGACAAGCCACGCATTCGTAATGAATATGTGATCAATTCGCAATATTCTTCGTTGAAATGGTTTTAATCACGTGTGCGGAGAGAATTAGTTTGGATTTATTTTGTTGTTGGAGATATTTTTTTATGTAGAGGCTAGAGAATTACAGATAATGTTATCAAATTTGCAGGGTATATTTTAGATTAAATTCTTTTTGAATTGGCGTTTAGAAATTGTTTATATCTTTAATAGTTTTGTTGTTATTTGTTATTAAACTTCACAGAACAAAAAATTGTTACAAAAATGCATTTTCTTATGATTTTTGCAATATTTTGTTTATAAATTGTCAAATGTTTATAAAATTATGTGTGGATCTTTATAAATAAATTATCTACTTGGTGTTAAAAGAATTTGTTTATATCTTTAAAAATGTTTAAGTTATTAACAATTAAAGTTGATCAAATATAATTAACAACTTAAAAATTAAAATTTTGTGACATTTTTTAGTATTTTACTTATAAATCCTGCAATTATTAATATATCACTATCAAATTAAGCAATTACATAAAGTATTAAATTATGTTTAAACTATTGAAAGAATCAAATTGATATATCTACTCGTTTAAAAGTAATTTGCACTTAAAATTGCATAAAATCTAAAATCACATTAAAATAAAATAAAAATGTTTTCATTCACATTTTCCTTAATAATTTTTAAAAAAATATTTAAAAATCAATAAAAACCTACATAAATATTAAGAAATAAATTATCTATCAATGTGTTAAACAACATTTATATTTTTGCTAATAGTTTAACAGTTATTCACGATTAAAATTGATGAAATGTTCTCGCAACACAAAAATTGTGTAGAAATTAATATTTTACGCCTAAATCTCGAAATAAATAAAAACCTAAATACATAAACAAAATCCAAGGGAACCCTTGCTGTTTCTATTCGTTTGAAGGCTTCAAGACAAACTCGTCGACGAGAATTATGTTCATGTCCAGATGCAAATTAGACCCGGAGCAGAGTCGCGGTGGTCCCGTATATTACCTCACCAACTTCTTCGCCGTCGCCGTCGCCATCGACCACAACCTTTTTCTTTTCTTTTTAATTAATAGAAATGTAAAAATGTAAATATTTGTATAAGCGCACATAAAAGTAGTCTCGTAAAAGATCGAGATATTTTTAATATTTTAATTTGGACGCCGAGAGCAGTCGTAAAATCACCGAAACGCCGAAAATTTGTGGCTAATTTGACGAGCACGGACCACCGCCGACTACACCTTGATCCACTTGACAGCAGAGTAGAAATATTTAGACTTTTGGACTCTTGGCGACCGTTTTTTGGGTGAAAAACTGAATAAATTACAAAAAATGTGATTGGTCATGATTTGGTGAGTTTAATGGCCAATAACATGAAAACGACTGGAGGAAATTTAATTCTGTTTGCAGATGTTTATAGAATAGTTAATTATGTGTTAATTTTTGAAAAGTTAGTGTTTTTATACTGGGTGGTTTGGTAATTATTGAGAAAAATGTGAAATTTGTCCAAAAAACTTTTAATTAATTTTAATATTTAATAAGTCAATATTTAGTACACAAAATTCGATTGTTTCAACTTATAATTATAAATAATTTATCTATTAACAATCTGTAAAAAGTTGGCAGTTTTATACAAAGTGTTGTAGAAATTATCATAAAAAAACTAAAATATGTCATGTTTTCAAAAATCAATCATAATTAAATTCTATTAGTCAACTTTAACAAATTATAACTCATAAACCACTCAATGAAAATTAATTTTCTTTTGATATATTAATAGATAATTTAATTGGTTACCTCTGTTAGTAATTTCAGTAGAATCCATCAATTGTAGCATGCGCAATACTAAAAACTAAAAAAAGTGTCGCATTGGGAAAATTTCAATTTATCATAATTTGCGTTTCCGTGCGTTTTCATGTGAAAATCTCGTCGAAAAGCGGTTGTGACTTTCGGAAAATTAATGGAACATCGTCTCCACGGTCATGACGGTCCTGACACAACTCGTCTCGTACGAAATTTGCTCGTTTTCGCTCTTTTTCACTCTCAACTCGCGTGTGCTTTCGTTTTTGTTGCGTTTTTCTTACGTTTTCGCCTCTTGCAAGTCGCAAATGTTAGGAAACGTTAGTGAAATGTTAGCTAACGATCGTGAATGTCGTGAATGCTTGCCGTTGTGTTTGTTTGCAGGCGGTTTTTCGGTTTTCCGGCGAGATCGATTAGGCGTAACGACGCAACTGGCGACGGTGACGGTGACGGCGACGGCGACACAATCGGCAGAGATGGAGGAAAATCCAACGACATTTTCATAAACGTTTTGAAACATTGGAATATATGTATTTGTATTTGTGTGTGTATGTGTGTTGTGTGCATGAGAGCAGGCCGGACGGTTCACACACTTTGTCGTGCGCAGGAAATTGATGGAGTCGACAGGAGTTTAACTTTGATCGCTTGCAGGTCGCTGTGCTGCGCGAAGAAAATTAGTTTTTCTCGTGGGAGCATGTCACTGTGTTCAATCAACTATCACGTGACTGGCATCGATAAAATATGTTATGATTTTCACTTATTTTTACTTGATTTTATTATTTTTAAAGTAAAAAATATATTTATTTGATTTTAGTTTGTTTTTCGTATATATCTCAAAAAGTATTATAAATTTATTAATCATTTAAACGTGATTTAAAAACAGATTAATTATTTTATAATATAGTCAAAGAATAATGAAATTATTTATAATGGTTCATTAGTTATAAGCTTTTAAAACACCAAATTAAAAAATTATTTTTCTCCAAAATGAAACTTGTTAGTTTTTTACTAATTACGCAAAAACTATTAAAGATACAAAATAATGTCTTGCAAAAATAAAAAGCAGATAAGTTTTTGCATCAATTGATAAAAATTCCGTCAAATTTCTTCAAAACTTTTCGATTTATTGGTCTTTAAAGTAAACTCTTCTAAAATTTAAAATTTTACAACATTCTTCATTCGATAATGTAGCTTAGAAAAACATTGATCAACATTTCAGCTCTCAATTGCATTGATGAATGAAAATAACAAAGTTTGAAGCTTTGAAGCACTGAATTTGTAGACGAAGGCGAACGTCCGGTGCTTATTTCCGTTCCATTATTCGTCGATGTCTCAAGACGAGAAACAAACGAGCGTCGATGCAGGCAAAGAAAGTTTTCTCAAACAACTAACTGAAGAACACTGAATTCAGGTGAGTACCTCTACATTACATTCTGTTTTCGTCAGAACAAGAACCGATCAATAAGGAAATGTCAATCAAAATCAGCATTATAATGTATTTTTGTGTTTTTAAAAATTCTCAGTAAACTGGAACATTTTTATTTATTTTAAACTGTTAAAGAGTAAAATGCGTCGCGACGCCGCTGACGCCACCGCCGACGCCCCGGATTACGACTCTTTTCGTTTTCCAAAAACTCCCTTTCTATCCCTTCATTTTGCGTCACGTCTGCTCCAATTCGCATCTAGGTACTTTTATCCCAAACAGTTCAAACTCACAAACTGCGTAACACGTTTCAAATTTATGTCTAGTACGCTTCGAGAAACACATTTGTCTTTCTAACCTCGAGTTTATCATCGATTATTTACTAAATACATTAAACATAGGTATTTTGGTTACTTTAAAAGTTTTAGGAAAGAAAATTTCGCTAATTAAATCCTAGTTTAAAAAAAACTTAAGTAAAATCAAATTATTTTTAACTTTTTTTATATTTTTGGTAATAACTAAAGAAATAATTGCTAAACTTTAATGAAATTAGGCAATATTAGTCTAAAATACTTGTTTTATCATATGATGTTTACAAAAATTAATTATCAGTATTTGTTCTTGAGTTATTTGATGGTAAAATTAACCCTAATTTTGAAAAGTAAAAGATGTTTATAAAAACAAATTATTTCTCAATTTTATTTATAAAACACAAGTTATTATACAATAAACTACATTATTGAAACACCTAGTATTATTCAATAAAATTTTTGATAATTATAAAAAAAGAAAAAGTAATTTTTTGAATTAATTTAGGAGTTATTGTTGATTAAAGTGGAGATATCACTAAAAACACATAATAAAAGTGACAAATCTTATATTTTATTGATTTGTGTCTAAACCACTTAATATATTATTAAGTGGTTATAAAATAAAAATACATTTAATAACAATTAATTTCTCTAAACGTATCAAAAAAGAAAATGCATTTTTTTCAATTGGTTTATGAGTTATAGTTGATTAAAGTTGCACATTAAAAATTAATAAATTTCAACCAAAACAAAACTGTTTGTTACACTCCAAATAATTAGCCTAACCACCCTGTATATTCCACCCAGATTATTCACCCCTACACCTACATAATTCCTTCATAACTATCTCCTTAAAAAAATCAATTATCTCATAAAACTCCAAAATAATCCTATTTTTAAATTCAACCAACTATTCCTATAAAAACCTTCCCACTCAAAACACTCTAAACTCTAAGCTGATATCAAAAGCTTTCATTTTATTAACACCCACGAATAACTCAACTGTGGAAACAAGATAAGAGCCGTTGTTGATATAGATAGCACAATTTAGTAAAAATGTGTAAGCTTTTCCAATCCTTGGGAAAACGCCAACTAAAAGCTCTCGATCTCTCGTGTCCGTTGGACGTGTGCGGTGTGGCTGTTGCGCGAGGCGCCGAATCCGACGCTGCCACCCGCTCCTCATGGTGGGGGAGGTGGTGCTGCCCCGACCACACCGCACGACCCGACACACAAAGTGCCTGCATCGACACCACTCCTCAGCGTTGGAAAAACTGAGGGCGTGGTTATTTCACACCAGAAAAGCTCACATTTTCCATTATCACAATTTTTAAAATAATTCAAAATCAATTTTTTGTATTTTTTAATAAATTACTAGATGGATATCATAGAAAAAAATAAAATAAAAAATACTTACGTTTAATATTTGTTGTTTTGTGTATGAAAGCTCAGTGAAAGCTCAGTCACTCACACCACGATGACCCGACGCGTAAAGTTTGCGTTCCGACACGTTCACATCGCCCGAAAGCTCTTTCACCAACACAGGCGATCGCACAGCAAAAAGGAGGTGATAGTGTGTGGTGTGTATCCGCAAAAGTTGGTGGGGGTAGATGAGTAGGTGTCGCCGGACGCGCGACCATCTGGGTGGGGCGCAACGCCTCCCGATTGGCTGCGCACGGTGTTGGTCTGGTGTTGGTTCAAACGCCTCGTGAACCAATCGTGTGGGTCGCAAGGCGCGTCATTAACACACTTGTGTGCTAGGTGGGGGTTTATCGCGGCGCCGCGATAGGTGTGCTTGAGGAGGGGCGCGTTGGCAGGAAGCCGTTTCTCGCGCCGCGCGCCAACCTTCCCATAGTCTTACGTTACACTCAACGAGGCGCAGAGGTGTCGAGAGCGACACTATACCACCGCCGCGCACCACCAAAAACCGCAATTCAACCCTTTTTCCGGCGGGTAGAATAATATCCAAGTGTACATAAAATCCCACAGTGCGTGTTGTTTTCCAGTGTTGGTTTCAGTGAAAAGCTCCAAAAGGATGACCCTTGAGTGGATTCCATCGCCCATGGGCAGTATATGAATTTTCAAGTTGTATCCGTGGAAGATATCCAAAGGGATCTGAGGATAGTTGAGTGTTGAGTTAAAACTTTCTTGTGCGGTTGACCCGGAAAAAAGCTCGGTGCCTGGGTGAGCACTGGACGGCCAAATGCGTTTCGAAACTGCCCTCGATCACCACCTGGCCAGCAGCAATACGAGCATCGCGACGATCAACAGCGGCGGCGGCGAGAGGCAGACGACGATGGCGTACCACCCCTTCCTGCAGCTGCCAAGACAGACGGACTTCTCCGTGAGCAGTCTGCTGACCGCCGCGACCAACAACTCCTCGGGAGCTGGTGCCGGTGGTGGTCGGGGTGCGAGTTCGCCGTCGTCAACGTCCCCTGGAGGTGCGGGAGGTGGTGGAGGTGTTCAGAATACCAACGAGAGGAGAGATCATAGCGCTGGTGGAACTCCACCGAGTGGATACTTCCCGGCGGCGGCGTTAGCTGCCTTCGGAGGGCAGAATCCACATGCTTGTTATCCGGGGACGTTGATTCCCAAATTGGGACATCCGCATCATCCGCATCTGTCGGGGCATCCGTATACCACTGCTGAGGATGTAGTGTTGGCGGCGGTGGCGGCACATCAGCATCATCCGGCTATGGTGAGGCCGTTGAGGGCGATACAACCGGAAGAGGATGGTGTGGTGGATGATCCGAAGGTTACGCTTGAAGGGAAGGATCTTTGGGAGAAGTTTCATAAGTTGGGGACGGAGATGGTCATCACCAAAAGTGGAAGGTAAATTTATTTTTGTTTATGTTGATTGATGATGAGGGATAGAAACGAATCGAATCAAATGAAGGAATTTGTGGTTTTTGAGGAGGTAGTAGGTACTCGTAATGTGAGACTGGTTAAGTAGGCGCCAAGTTGACTTAACGCGCTGGAGAGGTCTTAAGATTAGGCTTAACTAATCCGTGTTTATTTCGAAGGCGTGTTACTCAAGAACGGTGCTATGGAATTTGACCAGCGATATGTCAAATTGTAGCTGGTTAAATCTGTCATGCAAAGAAGTACTTGAATTTGAGTTTAGAGGTAGCAAAGTGTTTTAAAATCAGCCCCAAAGTGAAAAAACCGTTAAGATAATTAGTTGTGGAATAGTCAACCGTTTTTAAAAACTAAATTTCTCGAATACTTTTATATATAAAGAAGTTTTGCAAAAATGAGTTGATAGAGTATTAAATTATCTTTAAAATGGTGTATAACATGTTAGGGTGGAATAAGGCTAAAAGGGATGAATCTGCCCTTAAAGTTGCTAATTGACAAAATTTTTTTAAAAGACAATTTAAAAATTTTGATTTTTTTGCTTTAAACATCAATAACTTTTTTTGTAGTTGATATATCACTCTGCTTTCAACGTGATAAGAAAAACAATTAAATTTTGTATATAACCAATGTTAGTTTTAATAACTAAATTGTTGCTAAAATATTCTAATCTGTCATCGAACAAAATTGAAGTATTTTTGATAAAATTTTCCGTATATTCAAATCAAGATAACTTCTGTTTGCAATGTTCAATATTTTTCAAATAAACTTCATCTTAAAGAAAATTTTATCCTCTTTTAAATAATATACATAAACATAGCGAAATTTTAAAAACAATATACAAAAATTGACAAAAACTCAAAAATTTGTTTTTTTGAACAAGGAATTTCTTATTATTTATACTTTAAACCATGAAAAACTATTTCAAGAACCATTTATGAATGTAGTATGTGATAATTGTCGACTGAAACATTGATTACGCGTTGACGTGTGATTACTTTGACATTTTTAGCGGTGCCAAAACACAAACACCGCGCTTTGTAAAAACTGATATGTGATAAGTAATAACTGATAAGACACTACAACAAACCGTCGGCAGCAAACTTGTTAAAATGTCTCAAATATTTTCCCTACAAAATAAGGCACTATTTTTCACAGAACTTCTGCTTTTTTTATTTTGAGTTCATTTTTCACTTTCCGTCGGCACGTAGGTAACTGCAATAACCTAAAACTCAACAAAACTCAACAAAAGTTAATTAACAGGAATTGAGTTAGTTATAAAATTAGTATGCAGCATAATTCATAATTCGTGCCTTTGTTTCTACCGGCTTCTGAATGCATTTATTTACTCGTTAATTATCCAAATAATAAATTAACGCTTACTAATTAGTTGCGTTTTGCGCAGCGAAAAATTTCAAGAGACGTTTTTGCTTGTAACTTTTGAACAAATCATCGGAAATTTACAATGAAGACATCATTAGAAAGATAATTAAATGGACTTTATAATTATTTGCTAATAATAAGTAAATCTTGAGTGCAAAGTAACAATTTTTGAGGTTAAAGTTGAACTTTTTTAATTTTTTAAGTGAATTTGAATTGTTAATAACTTTTGATACAAGAATGGGACGTTAATAAGCAAAACACAATTTGATAGATAATTTAATTAGCTTCAAAATGATGTATAACTATGTTATTTTTATTCATCACAAGTACGAAATATTTGAGGTTAAAAAAAGAAATTTAATTCGTGCGAAAATTTTTACTTTTTTCCATTTAAATCTCAAATAACTTTTGTTATAAGTATGATATTATTATACACATTACACCAAATGACAGATAATTTAATAAGCTTTAAAATGATGTCAAACAAGCCGCATTTCCTTAACGCTAAATCCCCATAATTTCAATTTAAACAAACAGTGTAATTTTCTAATAAAAACTTTGCGTTCGCTTTAAATACTTTTCAACTTAATTATTATCATTATGCTGGTCGCAGCGACCGGATTTAATCAGCAATGCGTCCGTTTATTCCCACATTAATTTACTCCATCATCTCGCATCTTAATCAAGTCCAATTCGGCGACAAACAAAGACTTTTTAACAAACAAAAACAAAAAACCTACACAAATTAATGTGTATCACTCTTCATATCTAATCATCTTTTGTGTTCCTATTCTTGTTTTGAATTATGAATTATAGTGTAACATAAATATGTATTCTTTGTTTCGTTTTCGTGTTGCGAGTGTGTCTGAGTGTTAATTTAGTCGCCGCGCGGCGAGTCCACAAATGAAACGATTAGCATAATCGTAGTGATGTGCGCATCGCATGCGCGGCCATTACGCGCGATTATTATTCTAATTGGCGATTACTCCAAGACTCGCGGCCCGCCGCAGAACATTATTCAGCGCATTTTATTACACACTCGATGCGCGAGTGTCACTAGACGTTCGGCTGTTGTGTGCCTAATAAGGCGATGGCAGAGCGGTGAAAATATTCAAAACTTGAGTAAAACTTTAATAAACTCGCTGAGTAAGCGGCACTGTGCGAAAATGGCGTCGGGTAACGAATATAAGTGTTTGGTGGATAATAACTAGTATAATAAGGTGCATTAGCGGCGACTTTGTGTGGATTATCGACTAGTTTCATCAATTATTTTACTAAATCGCTTCTGGGGTTTGAGCGGTTTGTCGGAATTTATTCATTGAGACATCATTTTGTAGCTAAATAAATTATCTATTAGAAAATATGTTATTATGAATCAGGACTTAATTAGAAGTTTATTAAAATTAATGATGAATGTCAGAATTAAGAAAAAAAATTATTTTTTGTTTTATTGTAAATAATTTATGAAACACTTGGTATATTAAAATTATAAAAATGTAGGTGGATAGGGAATTAAATTTGCTTTCCTGTGATATATAACACAGTAACATTTTCTTATGAGAAATTTGTTTTAATTGACTTCAAAGTTGAAAGTTTTTAAGTAAAATTAATATTTTTAGTGTTTGAAGAAAATTAATGTTTTAATTCAGTAAATCAATGATATCTTGGGAACTAATTATTAGAATTCATTCAACCAAACGTTATTTCGTAGGTAATAAAATTATCTTCTAGAACATATATAAGGGTTTTATTTTGCATTTATGGAATTAGTGATAAACTTAAAAAAAAACTACAAAAATATGATTTTATAAACATTTTATTAAATAATTCTCGAAACACTCGGTATATAATATTAATAATAATACCACTAGATAGAGAATTAAATTATCTTTAAAATGACACCATGCAATCCACATATTTCCTCCAGGAAGTGACTTAAAATTGTGTTCTAACTCAAAATATTTTATTTTTCTTATAAAAACAAAAATCAAATAAATCTTACACATACATTTCCGGTCAAAACGCGTGAATCTCGTACAAATCCAAATACATAAAATAAGATAATGAAGCGTGATGCGTTGTGTGCGAGCATCCTAATTAGCGGCGCGACGAATTCGTGTGAAGAATCGCTTAACGCGAACGCCCCGAAAATAAATCTGTAAATCAACAATTACACGCTCTAAAAATGTGCGCAGCTTAAAAGCTCTCATTAGACGCCGAAATTGAAGTGTGAAAACGTAAAAATGACGCCTAAGACTAATTCTCATTTTTCGTGTTCTGAAAATAAATGTGATGTGTGTCATGCGTTGCTTTGACGGCGAGCTTTGCGAGCTTTCGATCGAGAGTTCAAAGTTGTGTTATAACATAGGGTGAAAACTTGCATGGAGAGCGGCAGGGAGGTGGTTGCGACCCTTTTACATTTTACCATGTATTTTTTCACCCCTCGACCAATATTCGACCGGCTGGGGTGGTTTTTACTACCCTTAGCTGTGTATTTATAATATTTTTTATATTTTGGTGAAAAAATTTTTTTGAAACTTTTAAAGAGATTTGAGTTAAATATTAAGACGTTTTATTAAATTTTTGTGTTGATGTGTGTGGTACATGTGTATAAGGGTGGTTTTTGGGGGCGTCGAGTGGGTGCAAGGTAATGATTGCCACTCGAAAGCGCTGAAAAATGCTAATTTACTTGCTGTGTACACAGTGCTTTTGCATTCTATTGAGCGTTTTCCCTTTTTCACGCTTTTCCGCTCGCTTTTTGTGTTTTCCGCTCCGCTGAAGCCGGAAGTTCAACTAATTTCGCAAAAAGTGAAAATTTGTTCAAAAGTTTTTGCTCAACTTTGAACGTGGATAACTCTGGAATGGGTGGGGTAGAAAGTTTGAGGTTATGTTATTTTAAAGAGAATTTAAGTAGCTTTCAAACTATGTAACTTAAAATAGTTTCAATTAATTTGTTTGTTTTTAATTAAACATTTTGTGTAAAAAAACACATATACATTTTTGAAAAATTTTATTTTTTTGTTTAAGCTTAATTTAAACAATGTTACAATAAACATAATACAATTTCAAATACAAAATTTTATAGGGAATTTAATTAGCTTTCAAATAAGCTATAATTTGTTAAAATATCTCAAAAACTTCATGAGTTAGACGTTTAAATATAATTAATTTCAAAAACATCAAAACATCCAACTTACTACTTGAATTTTAACAACAAATAAAGCAATGTTTTAACAATTTGTTTATAAAACATTAAACATTTTTAAAAGCAAATTTAATCAGCTATCACCCCACGTGTCGCTTATCAGTATACCTATTTTTCATGAGCAGTTATAAGCAAAAATATAACAAAAATCATAAAATGACTTAACTTAAGTCCTTTAAATTTGACATTATTTCACAACTTACAACCAAAAACTCAATTTTTTTACTCAGTCAAGTTCTTAATTGCGCAGCCGACGTAATGAGCACTTTTAATTGACCGCCTGGGTCGCGTACGCCGCACATGCTTCGAGTTGACCACTTGAACAGACTTAAGTCAACAAGAAAAAATACACTTACACGCATACACAACACACCGCCGTTATTCCTGC